CCAGTGTCCATTTGTCATCGTAACTTTTCTGTTGGAAAACCAAGCAGGCCCATACTCCATGATTCGGGGAACCACAGCACGGACACGGCGGTTTTCGGGTAGGCTGGCCTGAGCCTGGTGGTCTCCTGGCGAAATCTGATCTGACGTGAAAATTTCTGGGCCTGTTTCGATTGTTTGGATTTCGATTTGAATGTTGCCATCCATCAGATTTCTCTGTAACCGATAAGCCATGCGCCATCTCCTTAGCTTCAACGCGGATGTGTACTTCTTCCTTAAGCCAATCCTCAAACTTACAACAGATCGCTCCCGGCTCTGTTTCTGTAGCCAACGGCTGTACCTTTGTACTTGAACTTCAGCGAGCTTCTTCACTAACAGGCTATGAAGTGTTCCTTCTCCAAGCTCTCCATCGCGCCCCTCGGCCCTAAAGCTTAACCACAGTAATACGTATTAAATCTGCAAACTTTTCAAATCCTTGAATGTCGTTGTTTCCCATTTTGGGCATTTTTTCCAGCTGGTCCATGTAGGCCTGCAGTTGCCGCCGCTGACCGCCGAACTTGGCTATCAAGATTTCCTTTGCCTCTTCATATTCTGGTTCTGACACCCCAAGCCCTCGAATCGCTTCCAGCGCGCTGCCGGACAAGCTCTGCCTCAATCTCGCCATTTTTAGGTTGACTGATTCTTTGGACTGGTCCACCAGACTTTCAAACAAGCCCCAAAACTCCTCAACTTTCGTCTTGTCTCCACCATACGTCGGTACTTTCAATGGCTTCAGGCGATGATTCGCGGAATGACTGATTTGCGGGCTTTCAGGAACGTTTATTTCTCCTTGACTGCTATGCGAATTTTGGGAAGGCGTTGGAGGCAAAACTGGGTTGAGCGAACCCTGCAAAACGATCGGCGGACTTGAATGAGCGACAAATTCACTGTGCGAAGCAGTCGCGACAGAAATTTGAGCGTGTGATTTCACGGCCTCGTGTGCCTTTTCAATTGCGGTTTGAATTTCCGATTCCAGCGTTTTTCCTTCTTCCATAGACGCCTGTTTATTTGCTTCCTCTCAATTTTTCAAATAAACAACACACAGTTCATCCAGTATTTCCAGTGTGCTTTCCAGAAGCGACCAAAGTTGCTCAATATCTTTCTCAATAGCGCCTACGTCCTTCGGCGAATCCTTCGGCGTGATGCAAAGCTTCTCCATGTGATGGCGAATTTTTGTCATCTCGGTTTTTCGTAGTCTCTTTTTTGTTTTTCAGATCCAATAACACTTTCTCTCTTTCCAGTTTCTCTTCATCGTCCTTGTTTTCGGTCTGTTCGGTTCCCGGACCATTTTCACCGCCAGTTTCTTCTGCATCGGCATTCATCTTGAGCGGCGAAATCACAAATCAAAAATTCAAGCTTACCACAGTGCTTGCGTACGGTGAATGAATCTCCCGGTAACTCTTCAAAACGGTCTCTCGGTTTGTCCCTTCGTGGTCGCCAAAAAATGTTGCGAAGACAACAAACGATATCTCGTCGGTTAAATAAACTCACGGTTTTAATTTTACGGCTCCTAAAACTTACATGTTCTGATAACAACTCATGACAACTACAAAAACCCGACCGCGTGTGAATTACAAAATCAGAGTAACTGTCAATCAAAAAAATGAAATCTGATCACTAAAAACTCACGCGTGCGATTGCGTGACGCGAGACTCGAAATGTCTTTTGTCCACACATTATAATGGAAATACAACACACAAAGAATCTTATCCCCGAGAGATTTGAATTGGGTACAACATTGAGTTAGCCGAATAGTGGATGAAATGGTAGGGGATAATGCTGCAGTGAAAATAACAAGTAAATGCTAAGTGAACTATATGACAGTGTTTGCATTTGTTGTAGTATATAATCACACTTGACAACTACATTGTACATGCATGAGAAACAAATACCCATGCAAGAGGGAAATGTCTACATACAATTGTTACAAGTCATGTTGAAGGTGATCAGTTTCTCAATTCTCAACATGCATTAGGTTGTCGAGACATGGTTGCCAGAGGCATAATTTTTGAAATTCCCAGACTGACAGTCAAATGCACACTTTCCTTGACCAAATGAATTCACAATTTGTCCAGATATTTATGGAGTCCAAATTCCAGTCAAAACTTCGTGTATTGGACAAAGATGACGTTAAACAAAAGACTTCTTTGTTTTCTGTTCAGTGGAAATCGTCATGGTTTTTGTTCTTTTGCTTTCCGTCATCTGTGTCCACTAGACAATTTGAATAAGTGCCCAAACTCCCATCACAGCCATCCTCTCCACCCATTTATTACATGAATTTGTCGGGAATGTAAAGTGCAGAATGGATTGATCTTATAGGAGACCCTATATCTGCTTGTCGTTTAATTTCTTAAAACAATAAAACACATTTAACTTTGGTGAACATCCTCTAACTTCTTTGAAAGGAGAGTTAAATTTTCCCTGACTTATACCACAGGTGGCACAATGTTCAAAATATAAGGATTTGTAAGGGAGAAAAACAATTTTTTTCTGTAGCCTACGAAGTAAAAGGATTAAATAAAAATCGGCTAACCTTACTTAAAACTGGTGTGTTTCTTCTTTCCTGTGTGGTTTCCGAGCCGATTTATGGCCATTTTTAAATGGGTGTTATTGGAACCGGTTTGCTCTAGATCGATTGATTCATTTCAAACCCTTTAGGTTCCACGCTGTACCTCTGTTCAAGTTGTCTTAAGTTCTTCCTCTTAATTTTCTTTATTTTAAAACAATCTGCCTTATTATTATGTACGATGTATCTAATAATATAACACCTCCAAACATTTCCAGCTTATTTACCTATTCTTCAAAAGTACATCATCATAATACACGATTTTCTGCGGCTGGCAATTTCTATATTAAGCACTCGAGAACTAACCATATGAAGAACTCCTTTTCAAGAATTGGTGTAAAAATATCGAATAGTATTCCCGACAGTGATCGTGCTCTACCTAAATATAAATTTAAGAATACCCTACACAGTAGGCTACTGGATATTTTGATACTTATGTTGGTGTGCGTACTTTAATTGACATATTTAGTAAATATGAATTTCACTCATACCTTGTTTCATTTACCTATTTTTAAGTATACAGGTGTATGTATTTACTGTTTAGTGGATTCAATATGTCGATGTTCGTGTATCTGTGTAACTTTAGTGTTATGTTTCAACCCTGTTATTGTAACTTTTTATTTTCCCTTCCCGCCTCGATTAGCTATAGGCTACTTTGCGGGCAAGGATTAATTATGGTTTGTATCAGAAGGGTTTTAAATAAACTTGAACTTGAACCTCTAGATCTCTATAATAGATTCCCGCGTGACGAGATTATAAACTCTCTTCACTCGGAATTATCGTTGTTAACTAATGCATCGGTTTGATAATCAGTGAAACTGCCACTCAGACAAGTGGCCAATAATGCCAACACTCGAGTGGTTTTCTGTCTGTTGTATTGTATCAGAACAATAGCGTGACTTCAATGAGAGCTCCCGAAGTTACTTTTTAGGGTATCGGCATGAATACATTGATGGCAACAGAATCGAAAGGGTCACAGTTTATAAAGCTGCTTGGAGTTTATGTTAGCAGTGATCTGAATTGGACCCATCACTAACCCATCATGTAGAGTATATGTTGTAGTTAATTTTTATCTCAGTTAATTTTTATCTTTCTATTGTTTTGGGGTATGGTAATGTATGCTTATGAATTTGAAACAAACGAAAAACAAAAATTAACTAAAATAAAAAATTAACTGCAACATATACATAATTAAAAAGGGAAATAAGAGGCATGAGTCTCTCAGAGTTCTCAAGCAGTTTGATGATCCACCAGCTGAAACCCTCGCAATGCTTGAAACCCTTGCAACCCTCGCAACCCTTCGCAACGCTTGAAACCCTTGCAACGCTTGAAATCCCCGCAACGCTTGAAACCCTTGCAACCCTCGCAACGCTTGAAACCCTTGCAACACTTGAAATCCTCGCAACGCTTGAAACCCTTGCAACGTTTGAAATCCTCGCAACGCTTGAAACCAGCACTCCCTCCACACGCGCGAAAATTATGAACGAGGCGGAACGAACGTGACACCATATGAACAATATTATTGGTTTGAAACCCTCGCGACCCTTCACACTCTGTGAGCCAATCACAGTAGACCTTAGGATAGCTGCTACAGTACTGATGGCTGCCATCACCGTTGCTGAATTCGACACCCATTTTCGGGCGTGCATGCCTGCTTTTGCCCACAATGCATTAAGCTGGTGATACAGGTCGACTCCTTTCTCGTCCTCCTCAACACTGTCTAACGAATCATCCATGTAGGTGGACTGAAGGACAGTTTCTGCAGCTAATGGGAACTCGGTTTGGTGCCGCCTGGCATTCTCCTGGGCGATGAATTGGGCTTCGAAGGGAGCTGAGTTCTTCCCGAAAACAACTCTAGAGAATTCATACACATCTGGGTTGCGGCCTGTTTCTCCATCTCGCCACAGGATTCGAAACAACGGTCGGTCTTCAGACTCAATTTCTATTTGGAGGTACATCTCTTGAATGTCACAGACAAGGGCAACCGGGTTACGGCGGAAGCGGATCAGAACATCAAAGAGTTCTCTCTGAAGTTTCGGCCCAGCATGAATGACATCATTAAGAGCGATTCCTTTGTATTTGGCGGAACAGTCAAAGACTATCCTTACTTTGGTTGTAGACTTGCTCATCCTAACAATCGGAAAGTGTGGTAGGTACCAAACTTCAGGGGCGGTGCTTCATTTTCTGGGACTTTACGCAGGTACCCCTTCTCCACATAAGTCTCGATGGTCTTCTTATACTCTCTCTCCACAAATTCTCTCTTTTTTAGGTTTTTCTCTGTGCTGAGAAGACGGGATTCTGCCATCTGACGATTATCGGGAAGTTGAGGCCTCTGTCCTTTCCACGGCACAGCAACACTGTATCTCTCACCGTTGTAGCAGACTGAGTTGCTAACCCTTTATAAGGCCAATCTCTCTTCTGCAGTACACACGACTCGGTCATTTAGCTCAGTTCCATAACTCTCGATCTCCCAAAACCTCCTAAGCGTTCCATCTAAATCACAACAACCACCTGCTACACTAACCGGCCCTACATCCCTTGTAAACAGTGTTCGAATTGTATGCGTTCTTGTTCCAGTCTCCGCTCTACCATCTGGAGGTCCGATACAAGTCCACCCAAGCGGACCCAAGCGCAAACGAGTAATGCAAGTCAGCATTATCAACACCGATCAACAAATCTACCAAGCCGTCTTTTGCTGGTGACGCGAAGTCGCACTGTGCAAGGTGAGGCCACTTGCCTTTATTCGCATTCCAATTCTCCACTTGGTAATTTCCAGTGACATTGCGGGGACAGGTCTTAACTTCAATTTCCTTTGTAAACTGACCATTAACACTTTCGATCTCTACTTTTAACGGCATAGTCTGAAACGTCTCTACAGAATTGTTCAATACATGAACTTTCACGGTTTGATAAGACTCCTTTAGTCCAAGGGCTCCGGCCACTTCTTCGTTCAAGAATGTCTCGTTTGAGGCATCATCTAGGATTGCATTCACTTTAAGCTTTTTTCCTTGTGCCTTCACCCACACGGGAACGGTACGCAGTGAGTAGGCTTCTTTTTGGGCTTCTCGGGTTGTGAGTAGTCATCGCTCGCGAGGCACGACTGTCCTCACCCTCGGGTGATAAAACGGGGCCGACTGCCCCCTCCCATGGAGTAAATGACGGGTAGCTGTTAGAGCTGATCACTGGTTGAGCAGTCCCCATGGGTGGGTTCGTGGCAGGCGGATTCTCATGCAAGAGACGGTGGTGATTTCCCCGGCAACCGTTGATTTGGCAGGTTTGTGACTTCGTACAGAACTTTCCCTGGTGATCATCACCTAAACACCGGAAACACAATCGTTTTTCTTTAGCCAGTGTCCATTTGTCATCGTAACTTTTCTGTTGGAAAACCAAGCAGGCCCATACTCCATGATTCGGGGAACCACAGCACGGACACGGCGGTTTTCGGGTAGGCTGGCCTGAGCCTGGTGGTCTCCTGGCGAAATCTGATCTGACGTGAAAATTTCTGGGCCTGTTTCGATTGTTTGGATTTCGATTTGAATGTTGCCATCCATCAGATTTCTCTGTAACCGATAAGCCATGCGCCATCTCCTTAGCTTCAACGCGGATGTGTACTTCTTCCTTAAGCCAATCCTCAAACTTACAACAGATCGCTCCCGGCTCTGTTTCTGTAGCCAACGGCTGTACCCTTGTACTTGAACTTCAGCGAGCTTCTTCACTAACAGGCTATGAAGTGTTCCTTCTCCAAGCTCTCCATCGCGCCCCTCGGCCTAAAGCTTAACCACAGTAATACGTATTAAATCTGCAAACTTTTCAAATCCTTGAATGTCGTTGTTTCCCATTTTGGGCATTTTTTCCAGCTGGTCCATGTAGGCCTGCAGTTGCCGCCATGACCGCCGAACTTGGCTATCAAGATTTCCTTTGCCTCTTCATATTCTGGTTCTGACACCCCAAGCCCTCGAATCGCTTCCAGCGCGCTGCCGGACAAGCTCTGCCTCAATCTCGCCATTTTTAGGTTGACTGATTCTTTGGACTGGTCCACCAGACTTTCAAACAAGCCCCAAAACTCCTCAACTTTCGTCTTGTCTCCACCATACGTCGGTACTTTCAATGGCTTCAGGCGATGATTCGCGGAATGACTGATTTGCGGGCTTTCAGGAACGTTTATTTCTCCTTGACTGCTATGCGAATTTTGGGAAGGCGTTGGAGGCAAAACTGGGTTGAGCGAACCCTGCAAAACGATCGGCGGACTTGAATGAGCGACAAATTCACTGTGCGAAGCAGTCGCGACAGAAATTTGAGCGTGTGATTTCACGGCCTCGTGTGCCTTTTCAATTGCGGTTTGAATTTCCGATTCCAGCGTTTTTCCTTCTTCCATAGACGCCTGTTTATTTGCTTCCTCTCCATTTTTCAAATAAACAACACACAGTTCATCCAGTATTTCCAGTGTGCTTTCCAGAAGCGACCAAAGTTGCTCAATATCTTTCTCAATAGCGCCTACGTCCTTCGGCGAATCCTTCGGCGTGATGCAAAGCTTCTCCATGTGATGGCGAATTTTTGTCATCTCGGTTTTTCGTAGTCTCTTTTGTTTTTTCAGATCCAATAACACTTTCTCTCTTTCCAGTTTCTCTTCATCGTCCTTGTTTTCGGTCTGTTCGGTTCCCGGACCATTTTCACCGCCAGTTTCTTCTGCATCGGCATTCATCTTGAGCGGCGAAATCACAAATCAAAAATTCAAGCTTACCACAGTGCTTGCGTACGGTGAATGAATCTCCCGGTAACTCTTCAAAACGGTCTCTCGGTTTGTCCCTTCGTGGTCGCCAAAAATGTTGCGAAGACAACAAACGATATCTCGTCGGTTAAATAAACTCACGGTTTTAATTTTACGGCTCCTAAAACTTACATGTTCTGATAACAACTCATGACAACTACAAAAACCCGACCGCGTGTGAATTACAAAATCAGAGTAACTGTCAATCAAAAAAAATGAAATCTGATCACTAAAAACTCACGCGTGCGATTGCGTGACGCGAGACTCGAAATGTCTTTTGTCCACACATTATAATGGAAATACAACACACAAAGAATCTTATCCCCGAGAGATTTGAATTGGGTACAACATTGAGTTAGCCGAATAGTGGATGAAATGGTAGGGGATAATGCTGCAGTGAAAATAACAAGTAAATGCTAAGTGAACTATATGACAGTGTTTGCATTTGTTGTAGTATATAATCACACTTGACAACTACATTGTACATGCATGAGAAACAAATACCCATGCAAGAGGGAAATGTCTACATACAATTGTTACAAGTCATGTTGAAGGTGATCAGTTTCTCAATTCTCAACATGCATTAGGTTGTCGAGACATGGTTGCCAGAGGCATAATTTTTGAAATTCCCAGACTGACAGTCAAATGCACACTTTCCTTGACCAAATGAATTCACAATTTGTCCAGATATTTATGGAGTCCAAATTCAGTCAAAACTTCGTGTATTGGACAAAGATGACGTAAAACAAAAGACTTCTTTGTTTTCTGTTCAGGGGAAATCGTCATGGTTTTTGTTCTTTTGCTTTCCGTCATCTGTGTCCACTAGACAATTTGAATAAGTGCCCAAACTCCCATCACAGCCATCCTCTCCACCCATTTATTACATGAATTTGTCGGGAATGTAAAGTGCAGAATGGATTGATCTTATAGGAGACCCTATATCTGCTTGTCGTTTAATTTCTTAAAACAATAAAACACATTTAACTTTGGTGAACATCCTCTAACCTCTTTGAAAGGAGAGTTAAATTTTCCCTGACTTATACCACAGGTGGCACAATGTTCAAAATATAAGGATTTGTAAGGAGAAAAACAATTTTTTCTGTAGCCTACGAAGTAAAAGGATTAAATAAAAATCGGCTAACCTTACTTAAAACTGGTGTGTTTCTTCTTTCCTGTGTGGTTTCCGAGCCGATTTATGGCCATTTTTAAATGGGTGTTATTGGAACCGGTTTGCTCTAGATCGATTGATTCATTTCAAACCCTTTAGGTTCCACGCTGTACCTCTGTTCAAGTTGTCTTAAGTTCTTCCTCTTAATTTTCTTTATTTTAAAACAATCTGCCTTATTATTATGTACGATGTATCTAATAATATAACACCTCCAAACATTTCCAGCTTATTTACCTATTCTTCAAAAGTACATCATCATAATACACGATTTTCTGCGGCTGGCAATTTCTATATTAAGCACTCGAGAACTAACCATATGAAGAACTCCTTTTCAAGAATTGGTGTAAAAATATCGAGTAGTATTCCCGACAGTGATCGTGCTCTACCTAAATATAAATTTAAGAATACCCTACACAGTAGGCTACTGGATATTTTGATACTTATGTTGGTGTGCGTACTTTAATTGACATATTTAGTAAATATGAATTTCACTCATACCTTGTTTCATTTACCTATTTTTAAGTATACAGGTGTATGTATTTACTGTTTAGTGGATTCAATATGTCGATGTTCGTGTATCTGTGTAACTTTAGTGTTATGTTTCAACCCTGTTATTGTAACTTTTTTACTTTCCCTTCCCGCCTCGATTAGCTATAGGCTACTTTGCGGGCAAGGATTAATTATGGTTTGTATCAGAAGGGTTTTTAAATAAACTTGAACTTGAACCTCTAGATCTCTCTATAATAGATTCCCGCGTGACGAGATTATAAACTCTCTTCACTCGGAATTATCGTTGTTAACTAATGCATCGGTTTGATAATCAGTGAAACTGCCACTCAGACAAGTGGCCAATAATGCCAACACTCGAGTGGTTTTCTGTCTGTTGTATTGTATCAGAACAATAGCGTGACTTCAATGAGAGCTCCCGAAGTTACTTTTAGGGTATCGGCATGAATACATTGATGGCAACAGAATCGAAAGGGTCACAGTTTATAAAGCTGCTTGGAGTTTATGTTAGCAGTGATCTGAATTGGACCCATCACTAACCCATCATGTAGAGTATATGTTGTAGTTAATTTTTATCTCAGTTAATTTTTATCTTTCTATTGTTTTGGGGTATGGTAATGTATGCTTATGAATTTGAAACAAACGAAAAACAAAAATTAACTAAAATAAAAAATTAACTGCAACATATACATAATTAAAAAGGGAAATAAGAGGCATGAGTCTCTCAGAGTTCTCAAGCAGTTTGATGATCCACCAGCTGAAACCCTCGCAATGCTTGAAACCCTTGCAACCCTCGCAACCCTTCGTAACGCTTGAAACCCTTGCAACGCTTGAAATCCTCGCAACGCTTGAAACCCTTGCAACCCTCGCAACGCTTGAAACCCTTGCAACGCTTGAAATCCTCGCAACGCTTGAAACCCTTGCAACGTTTGAAATCCTCGCAACGCTTGAAACCAGCACTCCCTCCACGCGCGCGAAAATTATGAACGAGGCGGAACGAACGTGACACCATATGAACAATATTATTGGTTTGAAACCCTCGCAACCCTTCACACTCTGTGAGCCAATCACAGTAGACCTTAGGATAGCTGCTACAGTACTGGAGTAAACTGACTGCTGCACTGGATAGAAGCCCAGCGTAATGCGAACATCAGTCCCCGTTTATTCATACAAACACAAACACTTAGGTACTGCAAAGGCAGTGAAGTAGAAAAAATGTAACAAGTTCCAAGTAAAGTTCTTTGATCAATAATAAAGATGATATCGTGTCTGCTGCCCGTCAGGAAAAACCCCCTTCACTAAGGAGGAAACCTGAACCCTCTCGAAAGCAGAGCCAGACACTTAACATGAACCTAGAGGGAGAGAGGTTGAACTAGAATACAGAATTATGAGTACATCAACCACCAACGGCAATAAATTCAAATGACACAAAAAGAAAAAAGCATTGACAAAGGAAACTCATGCAGCGATGTCAGCTTAGAATGATCACCTCAGTAAAATCCCGCCCCTTTATACATGAGTCTCCGTGACAGCTGTCAATAAGCTGGAACCGTGAAAAGAATAATTTGCTGCTATTCTTAGAACCGCAGCAAATAACAAATATAAACACTTGGAGAGTTTGCCAGAACGAGTTTACAAATCTTTGATTGGAAATAATATGTTGCCAGACACTCTTTCTCTCTCTTTGGGGGAACAAGACTCAGTCCCAATTGCAAACAAGCAAGACGAGTGAGTCAACGGGTAGCTTATCACTAGCAG